AGTGGCAGTGGCTTGGCCAAAACTGTGAGTGTGCGACTGGTAGAGCTGAGTCGGTGGCTGAGCTGGTGTCGTCTTGTCCTGGCTGTGCTGGATGAGGCTCTCGTCACAAGGCGGAGGATCTTGAATCCCAGCAGATGCTCTAAATGGAGAGGTGACATTTTCGTGTGAGAACTTTTACATCTCAAGTGGAGATACGAGTTAATCAAAACATTTTGCAATCTGGTGTTGATTTCGTCAGCTTCCTTCTGTCCAAAATCCCGCCCCCCGCCCTGAAAAAAAAATAAAAAATTTAGGCATCTTCTTCTAAAAATATGCAGACGTATCACTTAAAATTATTTTCTGAGTGGAATGAGGATTTTCACTCTTCTGGAAATAGCTCTCTGTTCCCCTTCCAACATGTCGTGTGCCCACTTTTAATTAATATTGGGGGAAATAAAGTGGAAAGTTCAGTTGAACAGAATAGCTCCTGAAGATAAAACCTAGATGCTAGAGATGCTTGAGTTTTTAGTTTAGCTCATGAACTTTCTGCCTAGCTGAGTGGACCTTTACTCTGCATGTGGCTCTTATGTTATAAGATAATTCCTTTTGAAAATAATAATAATAAAAAATAAAATAGTGAGAGCAATGCACTTCAGTTAGGATAATCTGTCAGTTAAGGCTCAGATTCCGCAATTTCTTTTGAGACAAAACTCCCATTTAAAGTGAAGATGAGCACTGCCTGAACTCAGGATTGAAGAATGAGCCGTTGTGATCATGCGGTCTGACCCCTGTAAGAGCAGGGCACTCCTTTTCGTTTAGCAATCTGCTGAGCAGCAGCTGTTAAATTTCTGAAATCACCAAAATGCCTCAAAACACAAAGTGTTTGCTTCAGAAATGAGTGTCAGTTCTAATGCATAACCATTTTTCTTAAGAAATCTTTCTCTTTTTCAGAAGACAATTACAAGCTTTATATTACAGACTGTGGTTACTATACTATGCTTCCAAGAAGAAGAAGAAAAAATTACAACATTTCAGACCAGCATTTCTCTTGCTTTCTAATGGATTACTTTTGTTTTCAAATCAATGTCCTTTGATTATAGTCTTGTAAAGTTTCGGCTTTCACAGTCTACGGAAGCAGTTGCAACTTTGTGAGTTAAAATACGTGTCAAGATAATGCACTTGTTTCGTTTAGAAGTAATAAATTTTCAAGGAAATCTAGGAAAGGTAGATGTCATTTGTACTTAGCGTTTGCATCTGAGATGTAGTCAGTTCATCAGCACTCAGAGGGATTTGAAGCTTAGAAAGTATACTTCCCAGTTCAGGGGTAAAAGGGTCATTATCCGTTATGCATACAAACAAAGCAAACCGAAAATATTTAAATGGAAACCCACAGTAGATTGCAACCATTGTTTTTATGCATTTGAAAGCATTTATTTTTAAAAGAATTCTTGGTACCTAGTTCTTCTCACTGGAGTGTTTTTCACTTTAGATGAATTTGTACAGTCTTACTTATATATGTGTATATGTGCATGTGTATGTATTTGAAAGACCATCTATGCATGTATTTCCTTGTGGAGATCTTCACAGTAGCTACAATGGTCGACTCTGGTGTAAGTAGGTAAAAAGAACTGTGTTGGTTATAAATAGTCGTTCTTTGTGTGCTGTGCCGCAACACCTTTCGGTAGTTCTATTTGCATGTAGAGTTTTAATTAAGAGATAACTGTCACTGCAGGTTGACTGCAGAAGGCTGCAGTATCCAGCAGGGAGATAAATGCCAATGCCAACTCATACAGGTTGGAGAGCATACAGGGAGTCCATAATAAAAAATGAGTTTACAATTAAAACTCACATATTGCTAACTTACTGTGTTAAACACAGGCATGAAGAGGTCCAAAATCTGGTCGCTTAGGGTTGTACATACCAGGTGTTGGGTTTTGGGTTTTTTAGGGGGCTTTTTTCGGTCAATCTACGTGTGATAGATTGGAAATTGAAACTTTGGGGTGCGATCAGTAAACTTGTTAGGAGGGTATAGGTGTCCTATTTAACAAGAGTGTGTTACAGCTTTCAACACACTGGGAAGTCCTAGAACAGATTGCAAAGAGTCGTCTGTGCTTGATTCAGAAGGGCTGTAAGCGTCCTTCAGCCTGTTCGAAAGTGTTTTGGTTTCTAATTAATTTAGCCAGAAGACATGTTATTTCTGACCTTCACAAACCACTGCCTGTGTGATCCCAGTTTTAAAAGATCCCATTAACTGTTTTATTTAAAAAAAAAAAAAAAGGCAACCTCTCTTTTCCTGTTGTGAGGAGCAAAGTACAAAATGGATATATATAGCTACTGTTAGTGAGCCATTATATGTATAACATACTTTTCCACAGTATGTGGTATGTTTTGGGGTTTATATGACACAATAGTGCCATTTAAAATAACATTAGATCTTCATTTCCCTGAAGTTGCCAGCAAAAATCCCACTAATTTAAGTAAAGTAAAGAGATGTCTACCTTGCAATTTGTAATTTAATAGCATTTTCTTACTGACGTTGAAGTCAGTAAGTACTCTTTGCCACTAACTTCAAAATAAGACTCTCCCCCTCTGTCATTGAGATGCAGATAGAGGATTTTTTTTTCTTCGGTCCCAGTGACAAGGGCTGCCAAGACTGTGAAAGGAAAAATGCACTGTTCTGCCATAGCTAAACAGCCTAAACAGAGCTGTCTACTCTTGTATTGCCTTAAGCAGCCGTCAGAAGTTGTATGTAAGAGTTAGGTATAGGATTTATGCATCCTGGTTGAGTTGAAAATAATGGCCCTTCAAATTTTTATAGTGAAATTACTTCTGCAAAGTGTGTGACTCGCGATACATCTTACGCAAAGTGAATTGATAATGCCAGGTTTCAAGAACTAATGTAGATATATGAACAAAAGTTCAGCGTTAAAGAAATTCATGAAGCAACAAAGACTTTCCTGAACTAAAACATGATCTGAAGAATGTGTAGATTTATAATTACAAATGAAGATAAAGAAGGTTTTCCCTTTCTTGTTGGTATCACATTGCCAGCAAAATGGCTCTGTTCTAAGAGTTTGAATCTGTTGGGAAATTTTCATAGGTGCATGTATCTTAGGGCTCTGCAAAGATTTTCTGGGTCATCTGTTCCAGCCAGCCCACCCTGCAACAGCAGGAGTCATTACTACTGCTTCTCTTCCCTCCTACTTTTCTCCTAAATGCCATGTTCCAAAAGTGTCCAATGCTATTTTCTCTAAATATGAAGATGCGGTGTGTAACTCACCTATACACCCATTGGTGTTGAAGCAAGGTGCCTCTTTAGCAGATGATGACAGCTAAAAGATGAAAGCTGAGCAGTTGTTGGATTTGTTCTTCATAATATGGTATAAATAAGCTTAGCTGCTGCTGCTGATGGCTTTTTGGTTTTTTTAAGGGAAAGGGTGTAGGTGACCTGTACACAACTGTAAGCTGTGGGTTGTGGCCAGGTAGAAGTGTCCCTGAGGCTCTGGGGTTGAAGGCACAGCTCTGTCCCGCAGAGCCCTGTGCGGTAGCCCCCCTCGCTTCCCTGCCCTTGTACCCGTGGCGTTAGGCAGCAGCAATTGCCAGAGGCTCAGCCTTAGGCTTACTTAAGCATTCATATACTTCATATAGAAAGTCCCATGCATCCCTGTGCTTCCCATTATTACCAGTCCATTGATGGCGGTCTTCTCCATTGTTATGTGCTGTCTTTTTATGGGTTACAACTATCGTACTTCTCCCTTTCAGCTTTTCCATATGTGACATCAACTCTGCTTCCAACTTTTATTTTTTACCGTCTTTTAGATCAGCGGTGATCTTTGCACAGAAGAGTACAAATTTTTTTAACGTAATTACCCTGTACATATGTATTTAATGTATCCATTATTAGCTCAGGTGTATTTTTTTTGTTAATGTTCTTCTTACAACCAATTTTCTTTGAGTTTTACTTTCTTTGGGGACTCGTGTTATTTCCTTAGCAAATTTATTCACACCTTCACATATCGCTGTATTGAGTCAGTTCCTGCTGGAGTTTGCCTGTATTTGCAGCAGATCTTTTTTGCATTTTCATGTGAGATAATTTTTTCAGAAGTGCATAAAGGTAATTGAAAGTAATGTATTTTCTATTATGAAAATGCTAACAAATTAAGGTGTGTTTCTCGTCATAACTAACCTAAAAGATGAGATTTCAGTACTCGTAAGGCCAGTATACTTTCTCATGAAAAATAGCTTACTATCTTAGATCACAGCTACATAGTAAAACCAGAAACATTTGCTTTTTTTAAAGTATGGGCAAGAAAGTCAAAAGAAGAGAAATCTTTGTTAGATGTATACCAAAAGAAGCAGAACAGGAGGAAAAAAATAAATATTTGTATTTTTGTGGTTTTCCACATTGTTATAATCAATATATTTGGATTTTGTCATACTAATGATTTTTGTGATTTATAGATGTGTTCGTTAAGACTTCAGTAAGAGATACTACCAAATGTTTTTAAACACGTTTCATTCCATGTAAAAAAAATGGAGAGGAATATGCACGTCATTTATGATCCCTCTTTCTAGTGTGTTAAGTTTTTTTTTTTTGTAGCTTGTTCTATAAATGGCAGTATAGATAACTATCTGTCTTTTTTCACTTGGAATCAAAGAGGAACTCACTGCAGAAATGTGCCAGTGCTGGATGAGGCTGTACAGAAATACGCGTCCCAGCTGGTTGGCCTAGGGTTCTTCTAAAGAATTGGCTCCTATTACAACCGACTCCCTTTTCTCTGCAGACCATGTAACTTTGTGACAGGAAAGCAACAAAATGAGGGCTAAGGAGAATTTCCGTCCTTTACTGAGTGCGGGAGGGGGGGAACATAGTGACAAAGAATGAGGAACAGGTTGAGGTTTTTAATGCTTTCTTTGCCTCCATCTTTAGTAGCAAGACCAGTTGTTCTCAGGGTACCCAGCCCTCTGAGCTGGAAGGCAGGGAGGGGGAGCAGAATAAAGCCCCCATAATCCAAGGGGAGATGTTCAGCGACCTGCTACACCAGTTAGATACACACAAGTCTATGGGGCCAGATGGGATCCACCCAAGGATACTGGGGGAGCTGGCGGAAGTGCTCACTGAGCCACTTTCCATCATTTATCAGCAGTCCTGGCTCACCGAGTGGGTCCTGGTTGACTGGAGGTTAGCAAATGTGGTGCCCATCTACAAGAAGGGCAGGAAGGAGGATCCAGGGAACTACAGGCCTGTCAGCCTGACCTCGGTGCTGGGGAAGGTTATGGAGCAGATCATCTTGAGTGCCATCACACAGCACGTACAGGACAACCAGGTGATCAGACCCAGTCAGCATGGGTTTATGAAAGGCACGTCCTGCTTGACTAATCTGATCTCCTTCTATGACGAGGTGACCCACTTAGTGGATGAGGGAAAGGCTGTGGATGTTGTTTACCTAGACTTCAGTGAAGCCTTTGACACAGTTTCCCACGGCATCCTCCTGGAGAAACTGGCTGCTCATGACTTGGATGGGTGTACTCTTCACTGGGTGAAAACTGGCCGGATGGCCGGATCCAAAGAATGGTGGTGAATGGAGCTAAATCCAGTTGGCGGCTGGTCACAAGTGGTGTTCTCAGGGCTTGGTATTGGGGCTAGTCCTGTTTAATATGTTTAGCAATCATCTGGGTGAGAGGATCGAGTGCACCCTCAGTAAGTTTGCAGATGACACCAAGCTGGGTGGGAGTGTTGATCTGCTGGAGGGCAGGAAGGCTCTACAGAGGGATCTGGACAGGCTGGATCGGTGGGCCAAGGCCAATTGTATGATGTTCCACAAGGCTGAGTGCCGGGTGCTGCACTTGGGTCATAACAACCCCATGCAATGCTACAGGCTTGGGGAAGAGTGGCTGGAAAGCTGCCTGGTGGAAAAGGACCAGGGGGTGTTGGTCGAC